CCAAAAAATGACCGCTTATGTTACGAAGTTTTTCTTGAAACACCTCTGTTTTACTCAACCGAGTGGCTCCACCATCACTTGGCACAAGCGCGACAGGCAAACTGCTTACGCCGTTCTTGAGGAAACACTCCAGTGGTACCGATTCAGCAGGGCGACTGGCCGACCAGGGCGAGCCTTGGCCGGGGCCGGAGACCGGTATTGATGGCTCCTGAAAAATCAGCAAAAAGAAATTCTACCACTAATAAAGAACCAAAGGTGATAAGTGTGGCCAATCCCCTCTCACAGGACGTGCAATCGAAAGCCCTGCAGCTGGTGGCAGCCTCATCCTTGGACTTCGTCTGCCTCTGGCCACCCCTGCGACTCTTCTTCTTCTTCTCTGTCTTGCGGCTGCATCTGTGTGGCATTGGCTCTTCAGTCATTTCTTGTTATTTATTAACATCCCTGCCAGCCTCTTCTTCCTTGCCTACTTCCAACATTGTTCATGGCGCGCACTTCAAATTCCACTTGCCCCGTTTCAAGTTCCGCGCACTCCATCACAGTAGCCATTGGTGGCACATACCCGCACATACTGGGGATGAGAAATGGGAGATGGCGGTAGCTGGAGTGTTCACTAGATGAACGCATGGATAGACGGATGGACAGACAGACAGACAGACTAGCAGACGATCGAACAGATGGATATATGCGCGGACGTATGGACGGATTGACACACAAAGAGACACAGGCAAATAGATGGACAGACTTGCGGACAGACGGATGCACGGATGGTCGCGCAAACGGACGGAAGCACGGACGGGCTGACAGACGCTTTACCCCACTCATCATCATTCACTCTGTGGATATGCTGTGATTTTCTTTTGAGATTTCAATAGATTTATTTGATAGTTTGAAAACTTTTACAGCATCTTTTTATGAAGTTGCACTTATTGTGGAATGGTGCACTGAAGTAAACTTGTCGATGAAGTGGCTGCATCCTGACGTATTTCGTGAACAAGTACCAAGACAGATGCCATGTGCCTTCAGAGTAAACAAAAAACATGCAAGCAGCTAGGCGATATAATTCAACAATCGACACAATGAGCATCCGTGAACTGCCGACCAAACAACTAGAAAAGTGTTTGCGCCACTTCAAGAAGATTTACAGGTACGTAAAAAAAGATGTTTTTGCAATCATAGCAGGTATGCGCTCTACTGTATAGGAGGTATTCACTTGAAATCATCCGCAAGGTGTGCTAGCATCATTCCAGGATGCCACCATCTTGGCGGTCTCGGTTGTTCGATGCGATCATGGTGGCTGCAGTGACAATGCAGAGCTATCAGTTTTTCTGTTTTTTTTTTTTGTGCACCTGTGGACTGCAATGGATATAAGCGCATACGCACGCGAGTCAGACGAACCTGCGTGATAGCGCTACCCGTAGAAAGTGCATCTGTGCGGCGGCATGGACCAACTCGAACTTGAAGATGCTGAACTCCAACGCGATGTTGAACTGCTTGCCATGCGTAGACTTCCTGACATGACAACTTTTGTGTCACGTGATCAACTAAAAGCTTGCAAATCCATACCTGCCAAGTCTCCCAGATTGGCCAGGAGACTCCCGGATTAGGGCCATTTCTTCGGTTTGTACGGTTGTCATAAAAATCTCCCGGAAATCCAAATTTCTGTGAATGATCTGGCCGCATTGAAAAAAAAAGCAGCTCAGTACGCACAAGGCCTTTCGAACCTACCTCGTTTTATTACGGATGAGTTTAAAAAGGTGTTCATGTAAACATTACAGTAGAATCTCAGTGATGCGAAATTACGGCGGATACGAATTCATGAAATTTGCCAGCCAAAGTTCATTATGTCTATTGGGCCTAAATTTGAATGTCCTGAACACATTTCGTAATCGCAGAGGGTGATACAAAAACCATCGAATGAAGGCCGAGAGCAGCGTACCTGGAAGCTTCGGAAGTACGCATGCGACCAGCGCACGCACTGTCTTCTACAGTGCATGCGATTGTCGTTGCCACAACCGCTGTGGTAAAAACCGCGGTCGCTATTGACGCGATCATGTATGGCGACAACGTAACTGACAAGAGCCCCAAAAGTGTGGGCTTGATCAGTCAAAGCAACTCTGTGGATCGAACTGCGGCAGATGCGATCGTAGATGGCATAAAACGACCTAGCTTTGAAGCCGCTTGCGCAGCCGAGCACACGGGGATTGTAAAAGGAACTACCGTTTCGCACAGCTGCCGCGCATAAAACTGCGGTCGCAGCAACGCGATAGCAATGTACGAGCTCCAAGGGCACGCAGTGCTAGAATAAAGGCCGCAAATGCGTAAAAAAAGTTCATAGTTTCCCCGTAAGGGCGAAGCAACAAATGCGACAGCAACAACTTGGAGTGTCACGCTGAGAACGGCAAGCAGATCGAAACATGCAGCGCGCTGCTCACTCACAAATGACGCACGAAAACGACACACACAGGACGAGAGCGAACTAGCAACGTTTACCACTCAACAGGTAACGTGCTGTTGAAAGAAAAAGGATGCATGGTACATAATCACTAATACAGATGAGTACAAACTAACAAGTTCCCCAGTTAAACCTCACTGTGTATGAAAAGTGTACTCTTCTCGCTAAGGGGACCTGTGCAAAGACCGAAGCGGCCTTTGTGGGCCTGGAAACTAACGCAATCGTTCCAGTGAAAGCAGAAGGTACACAATTCTCCCCACCAAAGGATAAGAGCGCACGCACAAACATCTACCCCCCTCCCCCTCCACCCTTCATCCGCAGGGCATAGTACGCGTGAGAGATAAGCGCGTGTCCACGCATCGCGAAGAGCTGGATGCCGAGTGCTGGTCTTTCTTGAGTTATAAATATATAAATATATATACGGTGAATGACGGTGGCGATGACAAAAAACCAGCCTAGACTGTCCATATAATTGCTATCGCAACAAAAAAGGGCCAAACGCGTTTTTGGCGATCCTGTCAAAAGAATCTAGTAGTGAGCAAAGCTTTAACCTGCGCTTTTGCGGCAGCCAGCTGTGCCGTCCCGTCTGTTCACGTGTGTCCCAGGAAGACATACTCGAGTTGTTTTGAAGGAAATAGATTCTGCTTCGAGACTCTCACATTAGTGGGAAACCCTAACCTCGTGTGTTCGGCCACTCCAAGCCACTATAAGACCGCAACGCTGATGTTGGTGCTTGACAACAAGGCCCCCCCATCCCACCCCCTCTTGTTTTTTGTGATGTTTTTTTGTTTGCTTGTCCTTGGGTTTTCTTTTTTTTTTGGTGCCGAAAAAAAATGGGCAAATAATTCAGCCCCCTCCGTTGTGGAAATCTCCCGGATTCAGAATCCTTGAACTTGGCAGGTATGCAAATCCAAGGAGGTTCACAACTATTTTACGAACGGATGGGTGCAGCAGCTAGGTGTGCAGGTTTTCCAAATAGCACGATTGTAGTGGTAGCTGGAAAGGCAAACAGATTTCTCTCGTTTACTTGTAATCGCGTTTATGGTGCCATGCGAGCGTTGTGTTGATACTGTAAATACAGTTACGGGATGTATGGCAGAAAAATGATCACAGCAATTATTGCAGTGCCTGTTTCTTCTCAACAGCCGCTGTGTACCTTGCTCATGTGTAGCCGACTGATGGCATATGTTTAGTGCAGGCGTGGAAGTTCCGCCGTACAGCACGATTGCTGTTGTTGTAAAGATAAGCCGACGTCCCGTTTATTTCTAACCACGTTTATTTTGTTGTGCTAACGCCGGTGAATCTGGTAAACAGGAAAGGGAAGGCAGGATGTCTCGAAGGTTAATGCAGTGAAACAACTCCATCCTTCGTCGTGGTGTCACCTCTGTGGTCTTCTGCCATGATTCAGCACCTTTTGTGTAAAAAAAGAAACTTGCCGAGGCGACATTTTGATCCCCAGGCTTCTTTATCGTGTGGCTGTTACAACTAAATATGGCACAGTTCACCAGTGTCGTTGCTGATTGGCGTGCAACCACAGCGCGTACCGCCTGTCCTCGAATGCAAATGAACTCGTTCAGACTTTCCACGTAATAAATGCGGGCCGTGCACATGACACTACTGTATGTGAACTGAGGAGGACAGCTTGTACAGTACAAACCTTTGAAACTTTTCCTATCATGCGCGGACAGTGAAGACTGAGCGCACACAGAATGCAGCCCGGTACTGCACTTACGAACTCGCGAACAGCCGCACCACCTAGATGGCGGTGCTGCTCGGCGATGCTATCGCCAACCTTGCGGATCAAGGTTCAGTGCATAACCCCTATACTTGTGACACAATCGGATAGTAGACATTGACAAGGTCGTCGCTTCCAAGTTGAAACGTGCCAATTATATAAAAGCGCGTTGCGATGAGCAGCTGCATGAGACGGGACACAACGAACCCACTAACATGGATATTTTCCTGTGAAAAAGGCACAGTGAGCAGATTCTTCCCCGCACTTTTTGTGAAGTGAGGGTGGCACAAAAATTCCTGCTTGTTGTAAGTGTCGCCGAACGTTTAGGGCTCGCCGCGGCGGTGACGTGTATGTATACGCTGTACCGTTCAATATTTCTTCTTTGCAGTCCACATAATAAACGGAATACACAAAGCTGTCGTCCCCTGCCATTAAGGAAGCCTTAAGGTAGGTCATAGGCTGCCTTAACCGAGCCTTACTTAGGTACGAGGAAAGCTCCACGATAAGTACAAGGTAGGTTCTTGAAACGCGTTAAGGGCGGACTTATAACTAAGGTTGACTGAAGTCATAAGGACGAGGTCAAGTTAGATTTTAGAATACTGGGGTTAGTATGCAGTCATTTCTAAGAGTACATACTTGATTTTGCTGTTTGTCACATTTGTTTAAAAAAGGGAAGTGTAAGGCATGCTTCTTTGCATAGCATCTTATACTGTAGAGAGAAATTGAGTGATGGCATATGTGTACATACAAAACCTAGTCATTGTGAGTTTTCTGGTGTGAGAAACTTGGCGAGCTACGTTTTGTGGGTCACAGGTCGGCCAACAGGTGATGGAAACTGCTGCCAAGTCAAACCTGAAGAAGGTCACATTGGAACTAGGTGGCAAGAGTCCCAACATAGTTTTCAAGGATGCTAACTGTGAGTGTACTCAAGATTTGCACACACGTTATTTGCTACGCAGTTTTTACAGAAAGGAAATTAGACTAGCTCAGAGGAAGAGAATCAAACAGGCTTTGTAAAAACGAAGGGTGTGCGAATATTCCGGCTTTCGAATATTTTTTAGTTTTTGTCATTTGATTCGATTAGCATTGAAATTTTACTGCTCGAACTATTCGAACACTATGTACAGTCGACATTGAGTTGGTGGTGGTTCAATTGAATTTTTAATATGCTTCACCCCGTCATATTTTCACATTGCGAAAGCCACCTTTCAGGCCCTACTACGGTTACAAATGTATTGACCACAGCTGTGCGAACAGCAAAATTTTGGTGTGCCAAGTGAATTCGCATATTGAAGGGCAAAATCTAATCAAATATTTTCCTATTATTTCTGTACTATATTTTGAATACTCTGAGGCGAAAATGCAGAAAAAGTTTGAGAGTGTTTTTAAGCATATTCTTCCAAGCTAGCAACAAAAAAGTGCTTCTTTTGGCTAGGTTGATGAAGCGCTGGCGGGGAGGTGTTTCACAGTTGTCTTACCAAGAATGAGGCAATATAGAGGCTGAATTGTTTTTATGCGCATGATTTGGTGCAACCAAAGTGTTGCCGGCAATACTTTACATGTGAAAAGCAAAGATGCTATTTTCTCAACATCTCCTCGTCCTTCAACTTCTGCAGAAGCCAAGCCAATGTGGCAAACAAGGGCTTCCTTCAAATTCAGAGCTCCAAATCTGCCTTTTAAACGTCAATATGATAACACCTGAAATTTTAAATGCTAAAAATTAGTCATCTTATTTTTTGGACTTCCTGCTCAAATTTTGGGTCTTGAACAGCATTAATTGAGCCTCCCCAGACCTGTCACATCTACCATGTTCATGTGGGAACCAGCGTTTTCTTAAAAAGCTAGCAAACAGGCTCAGACTCTTTTTACACCTGCCAAACAAGTTGACATATTCGTATGGTAGACCCGCGCGTCATATATTACAGCACTACTTGCCACACAGACCTTCCATTTCGAAAAAACGATTCTCGTACCTCATTAGCTTCTGACAAATCCCCCTTGTATGTGCAGTGATGCAAGTTTGCCCATGGGCAACTTGATGTATTACTGAGCTCGTTGATTGGGCCTTTGTCCTACGATACAGTGCCTTGGCCCTGTGTTGATGCAATCCCAGCCGTGCAGTGCACATTTTCATAATCCTGGGCTGCCCTGTGCCGTTTTGTTGAGCCAGAGACTACTGGCAGAAACAGTATTGCCAGAACGAAAGCCTTTGCGATAAAGAGGGGTCTCTACTTTACCCCCAGGGAAAGGGTGCTACTGCGCTTCCTCCCCGCGCCACTATGACACGTGCTCATGCTCAGGATGCCCTGCTCGGTTGTTGGCTGTCTGCCGATGACTTATCGCAGACGTTTCGTCTTGCCGAAGTGAGCGAAGTCGGGGTGATGGGCAACGACTCCCCTTTTCTGTGACTGAGAAGGGTCTTGAGGTCACACGAAAAGTGTGAAACCAGCTAGAACAGATGTTATCTGTAACTTCCTTTTTATAACACACATTTGCACAATTCTCGTGGCAGCTTGTTCACATAGCAAAAGTGCACATGTTTCACTTCGTAACAATTTTCGTACCTCGGGGTTGTTTACTGGCTCTTTGAGTCAATACATTTGCGACAGTAGTGGAGCCTAAAAGGAAGCTATGCTGCTATGCGAGACTATGATGGGGTGAAGCTTAATAAAAGTTTGAAGGGGTCACTGTCGACCGGACATTGACATTATTTGTCTGTTGGAAGTTCAAATAGTAAAATTCCAGTGCGAGCGGGAATAGCAAACACTATTAGAAGAATCTTTGAAATTTTGAATATTCGCATACCCACAGTATCGATTCAAGACAATATGGAGATGATAGATGCGACAGAGTTGGGGCCTCAATTAAAACTGTTTTGGACCTAGACTTTAGAAAGTGTGAAAAATGGGACGCTGAAGATTTTTAGTATCTGAAATATCGGTGGTTCTTGTACATTGATGTCTAAGAGGCAGATTTGAAAGCTAGAATTGAGGAGGCATGCCCTTGTACGCCACATCGGTTGTGCTTTTACAGAAGCTGAAAAAGGGAGGAGAGGCTGAAGAAAAAGTAGTGTCCTTGACTTTAACGTGTAAAGTGTTTTCCACAACACTTTGGCTGCACCAAATCCTGTACATGCATAAAATTCAGTTTCTGCATTGCCTCATTCCTAATAAGACGACTATGAACCTCCACTCTTCCCACGCGTCGCCAACCTGCCCAAAAGAAACTTCTATGTTGCTATCTAATACAAGTATGCTTAGGAATTCTCTCCAACTTTTTTTCTGCATTAGCACTTTGAAGTATTCGAAAATTATTAGAATTGCACTCAGTTTCATTATTCGAATTTGCTTTGCACACCAAATTTTGCTATTTGCACAGCTCTAGTAAAAATCAAATGAATGTTCTACAGAAAGCAAAAGGGCAGTTCTATTCATGCAGTAATACTAATCTTCTGCACATCACAATAATTTAAAGTAAGTGTCTTAGCTTATTTGCTCATAGCAGGGAAGATCGTGCTTCTTTGTGCCTAGTTATCATGTGGGACTTCCCCAAAGTGCTTATTCTAATCTATAAGTACTATCACTCATGATGACGTTATTGATACAGCTGGCAGTGTGTGCCAGAATGCATCAGGTTGTGTGCAGGTCTGCACGCAGTAGTTATGTACATGTTGTGTAGACGGTTAACAGGAGCCGATAGCTTTCATGACATCACTGAATTGAGTACCAAATGTTGCCATAGACACAGAGGAACGTAGAAACATTCGTGACTGTATATTATAGAATTGTGTATACTCTATTATGGCATGCGTGTATACTCTGTATACCACGTTTGCCAAGCCTGTGGGTATGGACAGTGTCAAACCAGATTCATGGCTTTTTTATCTGTACCCACCGTGCTGCATTGAATGTCTTTGAAGCTGAAGATATAAACCTTGATTGATTTATTGCATGCCACCGTTACAGTGGACGAAGCAATAGAGACTTCACATTTTGGACTGTTCTTCAACCAAGGCCAGTGCTGCTGCGCTGGCTCACGCATCTTTGTGGAGGGCGCCATCTATGATGATTTTGTGGCACGCAGTGTTGCACTTGCTAAGCAAAGAGTTCTTGGGGACCCCTTTGATGCTAACACCACACAGGGACCACAGGTATACTATACTACTTAGTAGCTGTTGCAATACTCAATTTCCCACATTCGACATGCCGTTAGTATTATCAAAGAAAAAAACCTAAGGGCACACGAGAGAGAAGGAAAACATGCAATAGAAACTATGACTACCAGCTGAAATATCACACAGTGGCTACAGTGCATTTTCCTACAGTATGACCCCAGTGTTTTTTCTTTTTCCATCTATTGTGTATGTGTCTGTGCGTCTCACTTTTTTTTTGTATGAGGTGAGTCACTACAAACCAGCTCAAATATATGCTGACATGAAAATCGCAGGTTTAATCCTGGCCGCGGCAGTCACATTTCGATGGAGGTGAAATGGTAGAGACCCATGTACTGTGCGAGGTCAGCACAGGTTAAAGAACACTAGATGGTTGAAATTTCAGGAGCCTTTCACTATGGCATCTATCATGATCATATCAGGGTTCTGGAACTTAAAATTTCACATATTATTATTAATATTGTTGTTATTGTTGTTGTTACAGCTCAACTATAATGTAGTTCTGTGTCAGTGTTGCAGCATGCTTCCTTTTTTCTTCCATGATACAAAATTTTCGCTTTAGCTCTTGGACAAAATGAGCTCCAAGTACAGCCTTTATTGCACAGTGTAAAAAGAAGAAAACTTGCGGAAACAGCTAATCTTTGAGATAAGTAAAATGTAGCTGCAAACGAGCTGTGTCCTAGGGGTACTGACACAAAAACTCTGGCCTCCCATTTTTCTGCTGCAATGTGTTTCTGGGGGCCTGTTAGTCATAACACGACACATTATTTGCTGCAGCATGCAACAGATAATTTATTACAAAGCCCTCATTATCCAACAATTTTAGTTTCAGTTTGAAAGAGCTTCAAAAACGAGAAGCAGCCAGGTGCAACTATCGCCACCCAATGTGTGCAGCTCTTGACCATGTCAGCACACAAAACTGTGACACACTTCCGCATGGTCAGCATCAAGAATTACTTTGGAATAGGAAATGGGACTGCAGCGTCGCCATACACAAAACTTTCAAAGCGTGTGCCACAGCCGTGCACTAGCGTACACTGCCGTACACTGTATGCATGAAATTGTGTGTAAATGCAACGCCAAAATGAGAGCCTGTGAGTGCTATAACAAATATTTTTCATAATCCAGGTGGACCAGGAACAGTTGGGAAAAATCTTGACACTAATTGACAGTGGCAAGAGTGAGGGAGCCCGCCTCTTGTGTGGAGGAGCCAGGCATGGGTCTCGAGGCTACTTTGTTGAACCCACTGTCTTCTCGGATGTCAAAGATGGCATGCGCATTGCCAGAGAGGAGGTGAGGTCTGCTACAAAGCCTGCCTTGATTCCGGTGTTTTCGATATTTACCATTGTTCTGACAGTTTTGGTGCTAGTACTGAAGATGACTGCATTTTTGTTAAGACAGCTCACCCATCATGTTGTTCAACATGAGCATTGTCACGCACAAGTGCAAGAAAAACTAAGTTTGGATTTATTTGCACAACTATCTTTATGTTACTCTTGGATGCAATGGACGTGTGCAATTTTGTCTTTTATTAAGAATACAGAAACATTATTACTAAAGCTGTGCGATTAGCAAAATTTTGGGTGTGAAGTGAATTCAAATATTGAAGTGCGAATAGATATTTCTTGAATATATTTCGAATATACTTTGAAGTGAAATTGCTGAAAAAGAAGTTAGAGAGGGTATTCTTATGAGATATCAACGCGAGCTTCTTTTGGCTAGGTTGATAGCGGGGTGGTATTTCATAGTCCTATCATCAAGAATGAAGCAATGCAGAGGCTGAATTCTATTTATGTGCAGTGATGTTCCCTGCAGGAAATTTTCTCTTTTTCGGGAAATTCTCACCTGTAGTTTTGAGCCAAAGGAAAAAAGCGAATCTTTGTGAATAATATTGCAGGGAATTTTAGGAATGGTAAATTCTTTTATGACGACTGTAATTAGCATTCACAACGCACCTTCATCAGTTCTGGCGCATGCACCACGCGAGCATAGCCTTTGAGATTTGTTTCTGATATTTACGCGGAGTGATTTCTAGTTTATTATGGGTGTTAGACTTGAAGCCCACAATTTGCAGTGTACTAACAGTATATGAATTAATAAAGTTATGCTTTAGCATGCTTTAGTTGAGCGGCAGTGGAGGGGCTAGTCATTATGTGAAAAGTCACCAGTACGTAAGACACATGGAATTATAGTATGTCTGTGCGTGAATGGAAGCATAAATCAGTACTGCAAAGTAACAAAAAAGCCGACCAAGGTGAAATGTATTTCACCTTCGTCGGCGTTTTTTTTTACTTTGCACTACGTTTGTCCCCGACAAGACGAGATTTCGTCGAACTCTTAAATAAATCAGTATTATTGTGCAGGGAAATATGCTGGGAATTTCGTCAACGTTTGCCGAGAAAAATCACCGCAATAAAGAATTTCCGTGTCTCTGAATGGGAAGTCTTTGGCATAGTATGGAACATCACTGTTTATGTGCATGGTCAAGTATTATTATAGTGTTGTCGACAACACCTTAGATGTGAAGGGCAAAGATGCTATTTCCTCAGCTGCTGTTTCTCTTCCTAGAACTTCTGTGGAAGCCCAATTTATAAGGTGAACAAGGGTGCTCTCCTTTTGTGTTTGGAGTTCCTAATCTGCCTCCTAGATGTCAATAGGGAGCTTTCAAATAGAGTACACTAAGTTAGCGGCCGTTGTGGGTTTGGCGCTTGTGTATGGGTGCCGTGTAAGTTTTTAAATAGAGTTTGTCCCCTGCAAACGCTGACGCACACTCGGGTCACCGCAAAGGGGCTTTGCGGGCTGCACGCTGTTTGGATTTTTTGCGGGTAAACCGCAAATGCTAACGGCAGTTAGCGTCATGACGCATGGGCAGTGGTAGCGACTGCAATGAATAGTGTTGGCGTACACCATTCGAAAACTTTCCACTATATAAAAACACCTGAAATTTCAGAAGCTGAAGAACTGCAGCATCTGATTTTTCAGAATTGCTGTCAAAATTTCAGGTACAAAACAGCATCGAGCCCCCAACCTCTGCCGCTTCTATCATCTTCATGTGGGAACCAGCCTTTTCTCGAGTCCGTACATGTGGGACTGTAGCAGAGCCTCAAAGGCAGCTTTGTCTCAATATGAGAGTTTTATGGGGTCAAGCATACCGTATTTACTCGCGTAATCCTCGCACTCGCATAGTTCTCGCACCCCCCACATCGCCCCAAAAAAATAACGTTTTTTTTTTTTTTCCTCGAGTAATTATCGCACCCCCAAAAACTACCGCAATAATGTTGTCTGCTCGTTCCAGCAACTGATAATGATAGCGTGCACCATCTGGCGCCATCTCTTAAGCTTCAAGCGTACTATTCCACGGAGGTTCAATCCAATTCAAGCCAAGCCGAAGTGGCCAGTGCGCGTTGCGGCGTGTTTTGTGTGTTGTGTCGGTAATCTTGGCACGTTATGGGGTGATACTTAAGCCACACGGCTGCTTCAAGTTGCAAATGATAGATCATGCGCTAAACAATGGCAACAGGGCCGCCGGTAGGCCCTTAGGAGCCTACGAGTTTTGTGTTCGCTACTGGCGACGGCAGCTGAAAGCCACCAAGACGCGTTGGGCCTGCCGTGTGCCTAAAACTGGGATTGATGGTAAACTTTATTTTTTCAGAAGGGAACTGCAGACGATTCTGTTAAATAGTCATCAGCCCAATACTGACGTCCTACGCTTACTTTTTGAGGGCTCCTGTTGAGCGCTGACCGCTACCGCTACGCCCGCAACGCCCACAAGCTTCGCGTATGGTATTCTAATTCTCGACTATTTGCTTCCACATTTTGTGTCTCAAATAAATCTTGCCTTGTGTTGAACCTCTGCTTTTATTGTTGAGGTAAGTTCTCATTATTACTTCTTAAAGCTTGCTGTAAGGTGCTTTTGTGAGAATTCCGATTTGCGCCCACTTCGTTTTCTTTTTTGCTCTCTGCGTTTTCGTAGAATGTTTTCCCCGCGTAATTCTCGCACCCCCCAACTTTGCATCGGTTTTCTGGCAAAAAAGTGCAAGGATTATGCAAGTAAATATGGTATCATAAGTTTGAAGAGGGTACTGTCAATAGAGCTTTTGCAAGCTATCCCACAGCGTCCCGTGGGCGCGCGAAGCACTATGGGAAAAGTTGGTACGCCGTGAGAACCACATTTCTAGACTGGGTAAGTTGCAAAACTGAGCGATGTAGCGCGGCGCCGCCGCTGGCAGCGACAAATATGGCGCTGCTGTCGCATCCAGATTCACTCACTGCATGCTCGCTCACAAAACACCAAGCTTGCTCGTGTCACTCCCGTAACCTCCATCACTGTGCATGTTGCAGTGTGTCGATATCTGTAGAGGCTTCTTTCTGCGTTAAAATTTTTGTGCTTCAGAGCGCCCTGTTCTGCTTTGTATTTTCATCATGCCCGGATGTTGCGTTCTCGGCTGTAGAGTAGCTACTGGAAATAAGAGACACCACGACATTTCTTTTGTGCCCTTGTGTACCTGAGCAGCAAGAGGTATGGGACCACGCTATTCCTCGTGCAGATAAGAAACTGTCTCAGCACCTCACGTGTGTGTGATATGCACTTTCATGAGAAGGACATCCTGAAGACTTTCACTCACGTCATATGGTAAGAAGGTATAAATCTCAAGATAAAAGTGGGCCCTCGTCGAAGGATGCGTTCCACGAATATTCCCGAATTTGCCCGCTTACCTTTGCGACAAACGCGGGGCCCGCAACAAAGAAGCGAAAGCTGCCCGATAGGAGTGGGGTATTTTCCGGAATATCATCGGCGAAAAAGAATAGACTATCTCCGAGCACTGAGCTCAAATACAGTGAAATAAGTCTCGACATGCCGTCAACTAGTGGCGTCATTTCGCTTCAAAACATAGAAAACGTTATTTTGCATGCTGGCGGAAAGTTGAGAATGGCGAGACAAGACTTCTTGTGGTGTTTCTAGGGCTCAAAGAAAAAAAAAGAGCGCTATTTGTGGAGAAATGCATTGTCGTCGCAGAAGACATGATAGTCACCATTAGCAGCCGTCACCATCACTTAGCCAAGTCGCCTGGTAATGCAGATACCATCACCCAATGGGCCGAACTTCTGGAGGACATAGAAAAGCTGCAAGTGTGTTCGTGTTGTCCCAATTGATTGATATGTGGGGTTTAACGTCCCAAAACCACCATATGATTATGAGAGACGCCATAGTGGAGAGCTCCGGAAATTTTGACCACTTGGGGTTCTTCAACGTGCACCCAAATCTGAGCAGACTGGCCTACAGCATTTCCACCTCCATTGGAAATGCAGCCGCTGCAGACGGGATTCGATCCCGCGACCTGCAGGTCAGCAGCCGAGTACCTTAGCCACTAGACCACCGCAGCGGGGCATGTTGTCCCAATGCGCCAGCAGGCAGACTAGTGAGTAATGACTACGAAGTGCTCACCGATACCCCTAAGTGCAGTCTCTGCTCGAAGCTTTGGCTGCAGCTGTGTTAACAGGTTTCATTAGAGGAACTCCAGAAGAAGCAGAGGGAAGACATGCTCCAGAAAATGGCCGCACGCGTAGCTTTTTGACGGTCTAAGTTGCTAAAGAATGTGACTGACATGAAAAAAAAAAAAAAGCTGACTACATAACCAGACAAAAGCCACAAGATTGCGCCACATTGTTGTAATTTATTTTCAAGCCCAAAAAACACAGCCACAAAAGAGGATGCCATACATTGTAAATGGGTTTTTCGCGTCTAAAAATCTATTGCGAACGTACACCAACTAGCAACTAACCTACAGACTCGTATGTTATGCTATATATATCAAGCATTGTTTATTGTGGGCAGTTCAGAAAACCATAATTATACTGTATTTGCCTTACACCACTAATATTACGCAGTATTAAGTTTCTGCGGCCGCACAGCAAATCTCAATAATATACTGTTGGTAACCTCTTTCAGAACGGCCGCCACGGCGTCTTGCCATGACGACTACGCGTTTTCGTCTGCTAGCAGAAGCTAGTTGCGGCGCCAGCGCCACCAAACCGGAAGCTCTCCCGGCGCCGTGTGCCGAGTAGTCTGACGCGGGGAGTTTTGCAACTTACCTAGTCTAGAAACGTTGGTGAGAACTGACTCTTCTGTCGCCGGCTGCTCGTTTGCTCCGTGTGAGTGCACAAAACGAAAAGAACATGCCACCGCTTGTTTAATAGAGTCCGAACACAGCTACATGTATCTATGCATGAAATGTGAAATGAATAACGCAGTCAGTGTAGGTATTACTGGACGGGTGTACATCAAACGTAGC